TCTCGTTTTCTCCCTGCCGGGAAGAGAGGGGGATGAGCCGCAATGAACGTGCGAAGCTTCTCAGCAATTTTACGGCGAGCTTCTCGGTCGAAACTTCTCTCCGAGCGGCAGAACGAATTCGGTCGGCGAGAGACAGCCAATCCAGTCAAGTAATAGATACTCGCTCACGAGACGCTCCTCTCATCCGTCTCTTGGTCCCTCCGAATAAACGGGCACTCGCCGACAGAGGAAACGATCGAAATAAGATCTATGAGCTGTCCCTCCGTTTTTTTTCCATTGTCCGCATTTTTCAAGCCGGTATGATCTTCCTCCGGTGAGTTCTTTCCGATGCGGGTCCTCGCCGTTCCTCTCCACTCAGCGAGTTCGATCGTGGGGCCTGCTCCTCCAAAAGCGACGAGAAGAGTTCACGGCTCTTCGAGGAGTGATTCCGCCCTCAGTTCCCATTCAGCCATTCTCAGCTTCTCTGGGCGATCAGCGAAACAAATATCCGCTTCCCGATCCGACGCAAGAAGGATCAACTTTTACGGGTCACTCTTTCATGACCTGGACTTCGACTTCGTTTGTGAATTGTCAACTTCCGTCGGCGTCGTAGGTACATGCTTTTTTCCTTCAGCAGTGTGATTCTCTGCTCTCGCGCATAAATTCATATAGATCATTAGCAGGGAACTTTGTCCGGAAAGCAGCAGCTGCACTAGCTTGAAAGCTGTCCAAGGGGATCATAACTTCTCCTCAGAATAGACACAGAGCGGGGGAGCATCAGCGTCTTTCCATCGTTCCTGTCGTTCCATGATCTTCAGCTCAGCGAGCCCTCCTTCGCACGTGGAACCTCACTCTCTTGGTGCTCCTTGTCCTGTTTGTCTTGCTCCTCGTCGTCGTTGTCGTCCTGGAAGTTCTGCCTCCACTGCCGGCTGTTTGAAGTACACCATTGCTGCTGCTGCTGCTGCAAGCGGAGTAAACGAACCTCTGTTCTCTCTCAGCTATCAGCTGATGACGTACTGCCCCCGGGGTAGCTGCTGTGCTCCTGTCGCTATCTCTTTATTTATGACTTAGTGGGCAAATTATTGCTGCCGGTCCCTCCACAAAGCTCGCCTCGCTGGCTGGGAGGCAGGCAGACAGGCAGCCTGCTCCGGTGATTCGACGATGCCGCGTTATTTCCCTCCATAGGAGGCCGCCGCCGCTGCCAGCACGAGCGAAGAGCGGACGTCGAACCAATGCTGGAAGATGCTCAACTCGGAAGCACTCGGGGAACGTATTTCTGTTGCTTCGTTCCGTCGCTGCAACCGCCATAATCGTGTTCATCATCAGGGCTATAATAAGCGACATCAACTCCGTTGTTGTACGTATTCGTCTTTGTTGCTGCCGTTGTTGTTGATGCTCTTCGTGCCGTGAAGAATTGTATTCGAGTTTTCCGTGTCATCGTTCTTTTTCCCTCGACATGACATTCGTTGCGCCGACTCGACAACTCGACGAGCCGCCACGGGAGCGGGCAAGCGAACCATTCCTTCTCAAAGGAATGCTGTTCAAAGGAGCGCAGGCTCTGCTTCCGTTCCACTACATCTCCGCCTGATGCAGCGATGCTCGTCCGCTGGTCGGTGGAGTCGTCGACGATCACGGTTCCTCTCACTCACTCATCCAACCAGTCAGGAACGTCGTCCCCCTATGATCATTCGAATCCATGGATCTGTTTACAGGTCTCCTCGGTGTGTTCCACTGCTTTCAACTTCGAATTCACCGTAGCGATTGTTGGATGCGGGAGAAAGCGAACGATGCCGACGGTGCGACCGAGCACATGTCCCGGAACATAATGGGCGGCTCGAGTTCCACCGAGAAAATCAGCTCTGCCGAAATGAGACCTCCAGGCGCCCAATCGTTGTCTTCTTTATCTTTGCGTCGGGAAGAATAGGCTGCACAGCGGTCGTTCGACGAGTAGCCAACTTTCGGAAAGTTCTGCAATCCCACGAGGTAACCCACCCGGTCGCTCGGTCGACGGTCCTTGGGGAGGGTGGCTGGTCAGAGCCTCTTCGGAGAAATCATATACCTCGCCGAGAGTGCATTCCCGAATACGCACAGCCCAGAAAGGAGAATGAAGCTATTCCGAGGCCCATCTGCATGCCCCCACGGAGTCGGAACGGACGGGTTCTCCTCAAACTTTTGAACAACCCACCGCGTAATGTTTATGGATGCTCCGCGAAAGGGTGGGCGGGTGCGTGAAAGCCGCCGAGAGGTCGAATGCGAGCTCGGGAGCCGCGGAAGCCGCACTTCTCGCAGACGTTTATTGTTTGTAGTGCTTCGCTCTAATAATATCGCGCTTAAAGTGCTTTGCTTCACAGGAAGGAAGTGATGTAGTGTTTTTGCGGCACGACAGCGGCCAATTACTACTCCAAGCAGCCGATTATAACCCGCGCTCGGAGCTCGGCATCCTCCAGAGCTGGAATTCCACCGAGTTTCCACCCGCAGAATTCCTGAAACTCGAAATTCTGCAGAGTCGTCCCTCCCCGGGAGGTGAACACGAGTGCGTTCGAGAGGTTTCATCGGATCGGTAGCGCGGAAATGAGCTCTCTGCGATATTATTGGGAGGAGGGAATCTTTCCTGGGAATCGATGGGCTTTCTGGCAGATTCGCCGAGTTCGGCACCGTCGCAATAGACGTCGCGCAAACAATTTCACGGCTCTCGAAGATTGATTCGATTACGGTCATGATGATGAGACTTCAAACGCCGGTTAAGTTTGCGACGCTGTCTAAAAGATGCCGAGACACCTCTTCAGCGGCCGATGAACGTGCGGAGCCTTCAGGTTGTTGACCAGGAAAAGAGAAGAAGAACACCTCCTCGACACAATTATTGATGATCGGCCACCTCCTCCGGAGCGACGAAGAGCCGAGAGGAAGAGGGCGGGTGGGAACGAACAAAAAGCCAACTCAGGGAGAAACGGACCGGAGGCGAAACGCTATCTGCTGATTCCGAGGATTGGGTGGTCACGTCCACAAGCAAAATCGACGCCTGCTCGCCTCCTCTATATATACCGGGCAAGGCGCTCGCTCGCCTGCCCACGCGGTCGATCGTTTGAAGAGGGGAACAGAACTCTAACGGTTGCCTCGCTATTTTTCTCGTCTTGTCTTTTTCCCTCCTCGCTGCTAGTTCCTCGCCGGCTCCTTCGACAAAAGTCCGCCGCGGCCACTCGTTACGATCACCGTGATCCCCGCCTGTTGCGGCCGTCTGGTTCGGCACGGCGATAGTCTCCCTTGGGACCTAACATGGAGACAAAAGACAGAGGCGGGAGAAAAAAGGAGAACGCAGAAGGAACTTCACGACGACAAATGACCAACGGAATCCTTCCCGTCGAGGTCTTTCGAGCGTGGTCGGACAGGGGAAGTTTTCGGGGAGCGAATCCAAAAGATGAAGCTATAACGGCTGAGACCGTTCCCAAACGCCATCGGATGGGGTGTCGGATCCCGTCACGTGTTTCGCCTATTCATGAATTCATGAAGAGAGAGAACCCTATCCGAGAGCGGCAGGGAACCGCGGAATATTTCGTTTCTGCTGAGCCTATGTATTTCTGAAAAGGGATCCAGTACAGGGAAATAGTGACTCCGCTGGGAAGAGTATCGGAGAAACGATTGGGAAGTCCTGGCAAATCCTCGATCGGGATCGTTCACTCGGAACGAACAAGGAAACCATGTCCAGATAAATTGTTTGAATAAAAACTTGTGAGCTATGTATGTCTGTCTCTCCCCTCTTCGACCCCCCCCCGTTCACCTCTCTCCTTCCAGCGAGCGGGCGGTACCCGTAGAGTCCTTGGTGCACGCAGGCAGCCTCGCGCGCAGAAAAAGCTCGAACCAGGCTCGGTTTTATGGAGTCAACAAATCATGGGGGATTTCTGGCTGCCGGCTTCGTTTCGACTTTGGTAGAAGGCAAGCGTTCGCTGTCGTTCTCCCCTTGTTCGCTCCGGCAACGCATTTATTTTTATAGCGAGTCGGCGTTTCCACTGTTGAAGCTTCACTATCGTCGTCGACAGCGTAGCGCTCCTCGTCGTCGACCCCAACTGCCTCCACCGCTACTGGTTCCGTGACGGCTCCGCCGTCACTATCATGGGAGGGGGCTGCGGAGAGGCGGGGGAGGGAGTGCCGGATTTTCGAGCAGCACTCATCCAGCGACTCGTTGTATCGGGAGTCACTCCGCTTCCTTTTCTGTCGGTCTCCTGTTCGTGCTATCACAGGGATTCTTGAAGAACGCCCTTGTTCGACGTTTTCTCCCGGCTCGGATGTTCCCTTCTCTAGCGTTGCAGAGCCTCGTAATGTGATCGAGAGTTGACGTTCGATCGGCCGATGCTTCACCTTTCTCCGCTTCTTCATCTCTTATCAGTCGCTCGCATCTAGCCTAGTTTCGATCCGCGTTCACAGAGTTATTCTCCAATTGCGATTTCGCCGGTCTCGTTCCACCATTCGCACAATCCGCACCGGGACTCAATAAATAATTGCTGCCCCCTATTCGTCATGATTCCCCCCGGTCCCGGCTCGACCTCTAAGCTCGCAGCTCAGAGACTCGTCATGAGCTCAAACAGATTCAAGGCAGTCAGCGACGGGTCTCACTATAAGCTCACCAGCGACGTTTCGCAGGAACTCGCCCAGAGAAATGGCTTCATGTAGTGTCTTCGAATGCGCAGCTCGTGCATGCAGAGGGCTTGCCTCGCTCGAGCCAGGATTGTTGGCTCGGGGCGGTTGCCCGGGCCGTCGGACAAACGGATGGCCTCTCGCTTGATCGGTCGGCCTGCAAGCCCCCGGGGTCTGACCAATAGAATATTAACTCGTCCCGAGCCGAGATGGATGACCGGAGTAATCCAGGCGCGGTCGTTCACTGAATGCCAATGGAGGCCCAATGTCCCCCGAACGCTATTCAGCCATCCCACGGGGCTCTATCGGAATTGACGATTGCGATTGACTTGAAGAAATCATAGTCCGTCCCGACGTCGCCGTCGTCCCGAGAAAGTGCAATGAGGCCCTTACGTTTCAAAGTTCAAGAAAATTTATTGCGTCTGCTCGCCTTTATCGATAACAAAGAAAACACAATTCAGCTGAGGAGACGCCTTCCATCACATTCTTGACCGCAATCAATACTTTGATAGGAATTCCATCATTGGATCGTAAACTAATCGCTTGGCGCTCACCCCCAAGATGAAGTCCACGTGAGTGAATTGGCGTTCCGGAACCTGCGCAGCGAATCGGGAAGACAAGGATTGTATCAGAGAGATACCTGAATCGACAATCGGGAAAACCATGTCCAGATTGGCCGGAGATCGCAAGTCGACAAGAAGCTTACCTCGTAGCTTTCGACTATACTCGGCAGACGTTGCACCAGAATGGCCACATCCTTGGGATCAGCCAGCCAATCATTCGCGCTCCAAAAGAGAGCTACGGGGGTCTCGTGGATGTTCCTGACATCGTATTCTGGCGGAGCTGGTTGCCCATACCTTGGAGAGAGGTGATATGATCATTATTTCCATCATTATGAGCTCATGATCGTACTCCCGCGAAGGGACCCAACACTCCCGATCTGACTTCTTCTTCTTGTTCTTCTTGACTGGGGGCTGCTTGCTTCCGAGGAAAGATCTAGCAGAGGAGACCTTTTACCCTCCGTGGATTCATAGCTGTGCGTTGTCGTACCGTCGCCACGTCGAAGAGGACAAGGAGCAGATTGTAAAAAAACGCATGAAATTTCGGTGCGTTCGTAACTCGTATGCAAGTCCCTGTCACGAGCGCGCTCCACTCAAGGTGAGTTCTGCACTGGCTGCGACCGTGGAGGGAGCTTTAAACGAAGCAATTCCCTTGTAACTCACACCATATTGACACGCAGTCGGGCAGGAAACAGGGCAGCCGAGGAAGCAAGTACCGTGGCATACCAACGCAGCTGGAACTTGGGCGACACCCTTTAATGGATTCCTTTCCTTACTTTTCCGCTTCCCGTTTGAAACATTCCCCAAGAAAGTGTGTTATTAAAACGGAAATGACGGAAAAGAACACTCCGAGTGGGAGCGAACGAGGCTTGAACTCATCGCCGCCGTCGCCGCCGTCGCCAAGCCGCCCGAGCAGAAGCCGCTACTGCCGTCACCGCTCAAGTCGACGTGGAAAGAGAGGAGCCGAGAGATTGTTGGTGGAAAAAAGACGAAGAGTAAGAGGCTACATCAGATATTCAGGAGGCACCGAGAGCCTGGCACGGAAAAAACAAGCCCATAAGGAACGAGGACCTCCTGGGGAGGGGAAATCGAGGAAAAAAGAACGAGGAAGGAATGAACGTTTTAGCCATCTCGTCGCGTGCTGAGGCAACGAGCAAACAGCGAGAACGGGGACCGGGCAAAAAACCGGAGACCCTGGAGCCATAACTCCGATTGTTTCAGTGTCTGTGCGTCGACAAGAACGACTACGACGATGACGGCGACCGTGACAGGGGTTGCTCCATCGCCGAGAGCAACAGCGGGTCCCAAGAACGAAGAATCGGGGAATTTCCAAAATGAAGAATGACGTGCGAAACTCGATAGAGCTCGACGCCTCGCGCCAGTCGCCGTGTTCTCTCGGCTAGGCGTTTCACGTTCCCCATGCCGGAAAGTCTCGTTGAGACGACTGCCTGTGAGCAGCCTTCGCCCGAGACTGATTTGGATGGGGAATCGATTACTCACCTCCTCTTATTCTCCTTGACACCGAAGTCGTATTTCTGGAAACGTCCGGCTTCAACCTCTTGAGCGAAGTGATTCACGTTACGAACCGACGTGCCGGCTGGGGTATGGCTAACGTAAACCGGGATCCTGGTGACGTTCAACTGATTGCTGTCGATGCCACAAACGACGAAGATCGCGTCTTCACAGAGGTCCCGGGTTACTGCGAACGAGCAGACGGTATCGGCCATGGCTTTGAAGAATGGGTTTTGATTGCCGAATTCTCCGCTCCCGAGGAATTCGATTATGAAGTCGATGTCGTGTGCGAAGGGGGCTATATAGCGCACGGGTGAAGTGATCGAGGTTACGTTTGTGACGGGACCCATTGCCGCGAATGCCTTGATCTTCTTTTGATACTCCATTCGAGTAGAGAGCAAGCCGAACATTACGATGGTCCCTTGTGAATGGCCGACGTAGTACAGAGACTCTTTACCTGCACAAAGGGATGGAAACAGAAATTTACAATTCAAATTGACCAATTCCCTTCTCTTCCTTTCTTTCTTCCGAAGTTTCCTCCTCTCTTGAGGAAGAGGTAACTTCGTCTTATTCTTTCAAGCTCATGTAGAATGCAGCTCCCGGTGCGTCTCTGGGAATGAGCGTCTGTCGGCCCGTCCGTCCTTTCGTCCGTCGGTGCGTCCGTCCATCCGTCCACTTGTCTGTTAATGCGACCGTGTTGCACTATTCGAGCTCGAGAAGAACTCTAGAGCAGGAAGCGGTCGGTAGAAACGTCGCGATAAGTTTTCTTACTCTCCCAGAGTTGTTTTATATGCACAAAGCATGCTGTAGGAGCCCATCGGGCGACGTGCGGAAGACTAAGCAGACGTGAACGAACGCCCCGACACGGGAAGGCAGTGGGCCGGCCCTGCGTATTCATCGTGGCCGACACCTCAAAAAAATACAACCCCAGCTGTTCTATAGCCTGTCAAGCGACGACGCCAGTCGCCACGGGCTCGACTCGTTGCGGGCTGGCTCGCTTGTTTGTTTTGCAGAGGTTCCGCGCGAACACTTCGCGGGTCTCCGACTGCTCTCACGGAACCGGGTTTCCTACGCTCGCTGACACGGATTTCCGTCCCGTGCTCTTCAGTCAGGTCATCAACTCGCCGTAATGCGAATATTTGTCGGCCGAGCGACATCTCGCGAGCGATGGAACGCACAAGACTCGAGCTCAGCAACAATGCGACACAAAAGAACTCGCTCGCGTGCTTCACGCCGACAACAACAACACCGGCGACGACAGTAATGAAGACCGCCGGATATTCAGCGAGTGGAGGAGCGAGGGAGATTTGCCGTGTCACTGATCGCGCGGTCTCGGCATGCGCTGCTCGATGAAAACCTGAATGAAAGGAAAACTAAGCGGCCTCGCCACCACAAATATTTCGAGCGTCCTCTATTTTTCGTCGAGATTTGTGAAAGAACCGCTCGCCGTGGCAGATTTTTCCACCCGAGCACCGTCATTCTTCCCTATTATTCGCCTCCATCCCACGGAACGCAACCTCGCAACAACCGCTGTCGCTTGCCGCCAGCGAGCTCATAACGACCGAGCGGCAGAAAAAAAACCGCCCCACCGACAGACGAATGCCTAAAGAACAGCACCGGTCGCTAGAGAGAATGGCTCTTGGCAAAGAACAGTTTGTATTTGCATGCATTGCAGCGTCCGTCCACCATGACAAGCAATGGCCATTCTCGCCACCGGCCCAGCTGCATACACCGTGAAGACGACGCCGACGTCGGCCATCACCGTCAGCCCGAGCTGGGCCCTGCCCCGCAATGGCGGATTTCGGGCGAGTCCCAGTGTTGAACTTGAGATTTGACTTCTAAAGACCGGGAGGGAGGAGAACGCTTCGAGGAGTGAGAGGAGTTGAAGAAAGTGGAAAAGAGGAGAAGAAGAAAACTTGAAAGATTCAAGCATCTGCCATTTGAAACTGCTATGCTTCCGCAGCCCAAAGCCAACGCGATGAAAGCAGCAGACGGAGGTGAGCAAGTTCTAGCAGTAAGTTTCGATCCGAGTACACGACAGGATGGGATCTACGTGAAAGGTGGCACCTGATCGACTCTGGACCGTAGAGTATCGGAGACCGAGATATTCGCGATCCGGCGGCCTTGGAACCGCGCATCGATTGCTCGATATCTGCTCCGACGAGCTCTTACACGCGATTGGAACCGACGCAAGCACCGAGCCATCCGCGGAGACGTTTTCGGAGCCCTGGCGGCTCCAAACGTGAATCGAATCCTTTCCGGAGATTCCCCGCTTCCGCGTCGGGAACTGACCCCCTCGTTCCTCGGCTTCCAGCGTAGCCGTTCTCGTGATTATTCTTCCTGCTATTCGTCCTCAACGCATCTCTCTCCTCTTCTTGGCGCATACATGTACTTCGGAGAGAAAGAATTCGCTCCGCCACCTCGATCAAACGTTGCTCTTCGTCGAGGAGTACGCCGCACGCTCCACATTAGGGCATGGGCAGAAACGGGTCGAGGAGCTCGAATTGAAATTTGGTCGACTCGTCAGAGAACTCAATCGGGAGGAAGCCCGCGTCCGCCGCGCCTTAGCCCGTGCTCTCTTTTTCGCCGAAGAGGTCGCGTGATCGGATCGCATTTCTTAAGATCGGCGAGGGCAGGCGAGAAAAAGAAATCCATAAATCGACAAGTGGCTCCGGAACATCAGTCTTCTCCAACTCTCACACCCACTCAGCTCCCGTCAGTGCGACTGTCTGTCGGCCTACGGGGGGTCTCGATGTCGACCGCACGTCCCTCTATGATGGGCAGACAGTCCGTTATTCAGACGCGTGCAGTGGACCGGAGGAGGATTCCTCCCACCCTGGGGGGAAACCGCGGTCGGACTGTGCTCCATTAGATCGATTCCGTCAGCGACTGAAGTTCTCGAGTGAGTCGGCTGCGTCTGTCGGGGACAGTAGCTCAGATCGACTCACCGGTTTTGTTGAGCACGAAGTCGATCATCGCGGGAACGTCGAAATCGATGAACTCGTCGAAAGTGAATTCCCAGAATTTCTTCGAGTCGGCACTCATGTTCACGTGTCTTCTGCTGTATGTGTTCCCTCGGACATTCCCAAGCCAGACGTCGTACCTGAATCGGGGCAAATCGATGAAGTCACAACATTTCGAGCGCACGATCACTATAATATTCCAACCAGAAGAGGGGGGAGGGGGTAGATCCTGACCATCCGAGAAAGGTCGAGATATCGAGAAATAGGCCAGGATACACCCCGTTCCTCACGCGAGGATGTACTCGAAGGTGTCGAATGTATGTATCTCTAGAGTATCTGAAGCGAGTCCATGTTGCAAGAATGTCGGCGCATAACAACGAGGGAAGACTGTGCGATACGAGTCGAGGAGAATTTATTTACGAGCAGCGAGAGAACTCCCTAGAGTGTCCCAAAGTCTTTTCTAATAAGCGTGAACACGAGTGCACGAGCGTTTTCGGCTGTGATGAATGCGTTACTCAAACGAAAAAAAGACGCCGGCGTGCACGCCTTCCTCTCGCGCAACGCAAGCTGAGACGAGCCTGAGCAGGAAAAACTAATGGATAATGAAGGGTTACTCCGAAGATCCGAGGACGGCTAGAGGAGGCAGAGAATCGGCGGGAAGGGAAATATAGTGCCAGCGGAGGAAGTCGAGAACAGAGAAAAAATTCTTGGAGGCAGACCGTACAAGTGAATCTAGGGCTCGTTCGCCTCGGATCCATCCTTTCCTCCGAAGGGTTGAGGGTTCCGCTAGGACATCGGCCGAAATAACTTTCTCGAGGGCTGTGTTCTGTCGTATAGAGTGTTTTTTGAGTTGATAGGACCGAAATTCAGTTTTTAGGTCCGCTCGCTCGGTTCTCGTTCGGCCTTCTGAGATGATATCCCTGAGACACGGGCGGTGGTGGGCCCAAGGATTGCTTTCTTTCAGGATCATCTCCCTGAAAGCGAGCGGTCGGGCGAGCTGAGACTCAGCTGCATCCTTCCGCATCGTAAACGGGCTTCCGATTGATGGTGGATTGTTCCAGGTGGCTCGAAAAACAGTGGGGAGCGAAAAGGATCCGCCGGATGCGATCCTTAGAGAATCGAGAGATCGGGGTTCATTTGCTGAAATTTTTGTGATAGCAGCGATATTCGCTTGCAGATCGGTGAATTCGAGAGGAGTCACGTTTTTCGAGCCCCACAAACCAGGAAGGTACACTTAGAGACCCTCCTCACGTAGAGCTTGAAGACCACGTTCTCACGTTGGAAATTCTGTCAGCTCTAGCGGTGTCCTTCTCCCGTTACTTTGAAATAGGTACGGGGTACGCCGCGCCGCCGCCCGCCGACTCAAAGTGGCACGCAGCCGAGAGACACAAGCGACAGCGAAGAGTCGTTCTTCGTTCCGTTTTTAGATTCAATCTCCTGGAGCATTCTACACCACCAGTGATCGATACGCTCTCTACCGAGGCATCACATTTATCGTTAGTTCGGAGCCTATAGCCTCGGGACAGCACGTAGGTACAAACGAACGAAGAACTCTTCTGTGGTGGTGGGCTTTTTAGCGTCGTAGGTCGATCGTTCCCAACGAGAGAATTCTCTACATCGCCTCTCCCGATGGTATACCCTAACTTCGTAAAGACGAAACTCTACAGATCCCATCCCAGGGCTCTTCGCTGGCTCCGATCGCTGTAAATTTCGTGACATAGGCCCCATTCCCTCGATTCCTTGGAACGACGTTGACGAACTCGATAATATCGCCTGCTCGCTCATATCAACTACTCGCTCCGATTCAGGGGGGAAGGAAGTCTCGAGAGGAGGCTCACGTTGTGGGAGATATTGTACTTGCATCCGTCGTGTTATCGCCTCACCCATTATCAGCCATCACGTAACCGAGAGATTCACTCGGGAGGTTGTTGACGTAATCGAAAGCCGACGAGAACAAGCCATGCTGTAGGAAAGCGACTCGGTCCCCGGTCGTCGAGTTTTTGATACCATGGGGAATCCTCTGAATCTCTGGAATGACGAGCAAAACATGAGTCATGATGCACCAAGGTCCCTGCCACTCGACTTCTCCTCTGATTTGCTAATCAGCTGTCGATAGAGGCTCATGGTCTGTCGGATATGAGCAGTGAACACCTTATCCGTGAACTATCATTAAATTCCGAACAAAATCGAAAAAAAATCGATCCCATATGAAATCGTCAATTCCGTATGAAATCGTCGATTCCGTATGAAATGCGCGATGTCGTCCTGTTCAGCAACATGGATTGATCGTATCGTCGTCCCGCTGATGCTTTCATGGAGGAAAGCTCAACATGTTTCGAGTTCGACCGGTCGTATACAACGGTCGGCAATAGTGATCTTCTCGGGATAGCGATTCCAGTGAGCTCTGTCGAGTCGGCCAGCGCCTGGGAGTCATCCCTCCGCATCACCTCTCCTGGGATTCACTCGAGTTCCTTTGTTCATTTCCCAGTGAACGCTCTGCTCGCTAGGCTTCGGTCTCTCCAAACTTAAGCCAAGTCGTTTGAAGTGGACGACCTGTCGAGCGAGGAAGCGTTTCTGCTTCCGCAACCTCCGCCGTGCTTTCCCGGTCTCGGAAGACGGCCCTTGGACCGATATGAGTGCGATACCGAAAACACCGGCCTCGAGAATGGAAACCGGGGCGAGCTCTCCGAAGGTCCTGGCTCGGGTTCGGTTCGTCTCCCTCGCCCGGCATCGCGCCCGGACTCAATCCTCGAGGACACTTAACGCCACTGTCGTATCTTCAGCCGTTGTCGAGCGTTCCCTCCACCGATATATTGTTCATCCACGTAGCCCGGAGCGGCATGGCGGGCTTGCCAGTGGAGGGCCGTTCTGAAAAATCGACGAGCCGGGTTTCGTATTGCAGTTGGCGCAGACGAGGGCAAACAGTCGGATGGACGGACGGACGGACGGACGGATGGGTTCCTTCCTAGTCAATCGTCCCAGCAGTTCCCCGGCCGGCCTGCCAGCCAGCCAGCCAGTCGACCGAGCACCGGGCCCTCGTTCGTTCGCGGGAATGGAAGTGTCGAATTGCTGCTGCTGCCGCTGCCGCCGTCACTTCGAATGAAGAGGGGGAATCTCAGACGACGAACGGATGGAAATAACGTGGTTGTTCGGATGGATGGCTGCTAGCTTGCCATCCGTTCACTGGTAGAGCCTGTCTGTGCGCTCGCGCTAGACCGTCTACCAGCCGGGCTCGCCATGACTGGCTGCCGAAGTGGATGACGGAATAGTTGCCGACCGACGATTGCCGTCATTGTGATGAAAAACGCGGCCCGAGCTTCATGTGGCGGCCGTCTGTGGGCAGGCCCCGTGCAGGAACTCGCCGAGTACGTGCCGGCCATTCCGCAGCGAAGCCTCGGCACGGCAGCATTGAAGAGGCGTGCGGAAATGAGTAGCTCTAACGAAAAAATGAATCGTTATAGGGCCCTTCCGCTTGTTAACATCGACTCATTCGGTCATCGATGAATTCTCACGGCCCACTCGGAGCACAATCACAATAACTCCGAGGAGCGTTCTCTGCCCTCCGGGAAGAGGCCAATGACGCCATCCAATGCTCATTCGATCCCGCACTTGCAAGCGGAGGGAATCAAAAACCGTAGGGAAATCGATGATCCATTCCAAGACTTCTGTGATTCCTCGATTCGGAGACGGAGGTCGACGTTCACGATGATAGAGTCGAAACTCGTGGAATCAACAAGCGACTTGTTTTTCTCAGCGTGGGCATAACGCGAAACGAGCTCTCCGAGAGCCGCGGTCCTATGTTGCAAAGCGCGGAGCAGGCTAGCGAGATCCTCCACTCGCCTGCTCGCAAGCTCGTTCGTTCGTTTTCTGCTCGGCTCGTACGTCCGTTGTTCCCAGAGGAGACATTTCGTCACAAAGCAATCAACTGCAGACTCGAAACTTCGGAGGAAATTGGCGTCCTGCTTTCAACAGGACCAGCTGCACATCTACTCCAAGCTGGTTCGACGACGACGGAGGAGGCGGCGGCGGCTGAAGCTGCGACAGCGTTGAGGACAACGAAAGCACCACTAACAACAACAACAACAACAATGAATTCAAGGGCCTGCCAGTGAACCGAGCATCAAGCAGTCAACTAGAGAAGCTAGCGAGCGAGCCTCGTCCGAATGAGCTGTGGAGAGTTTCAATCAAGCGATGAGTAGACTCAGTCAGTCTGTCAATGCATATGTGTCCCGTCGATCTGCGGCATCCCCGACATCCCCGACCCAAAGATCGGATTTCCTCGTTCTCTAATCAGGTCGATATGATTGGGAGATCTCGTATGGAGCCGGGGAACGTGGAACACACGACGAGGGAAAGACGACTCTGGGAACTGCCTCGTTTCGCGATCAGAATCCGCGAGGGACGACAATTTTCAGCTCCCTCATTCTCGAAACAGCCTCGGAAGCCCGAGAACGATGTCTTTTCGGCTTTGAGAGGACGAAATTTCCGAGGCTATTCCCAACGCGGGCAAGGGTCGTCGAGGGAGCATCTGCTTCGTGTCGTGAATACAAAGTCGCCCCCCGACACAGACGCTGTCCGTGCCCTTCCCCCTTCCCCCAACGACGTCCTGATTCCCGAGCGCTCGGGAACTTTCTCGCAGTCAATCTCTGTATACCACAGATATCATCGCGAACCTCTGCCGCCGCTGTCTTGCGATGGATTCCCACGATCAGCCGGTGATGAGGTTCATCGAGAACGATCTATTCTTGAAACCTGGACCTCTGGCAGCCGGGAGGCATTGTTCCAAGAAGGAACGGACAACTAGCCGAATCATCGATCGAAACGGATCGGTAGGGAGGTCGAAACCCCTTCAGGTACTGATAGGGTTCCGGATGGAGACCCTCCGATGTACTCTCAACGAATCGTTCCCTCTTACAGTTCTCCTCGCTGCAGTCGGACGAATCGGAGTGCGGATGCTTGCGAGACGCCAGCATGGGGAGCAACTTGTAGATGGCAGAGGTGTCGACGGAGGAGAGTCTCACATCTTGAATGCTGACACGTGTTGATCCGAGACGTTCATCTTTTTTCCTTCGAGAGAGATTGGGCGCAAACCGCATCGAACGAGATAAAAAATCAGATTTCACCGAGTCTGATGACCCCGCTCCCCCCGACTCCCATCGAGAGTAAAACCAGAGAGAAGACCGCGTAAGGAACACAGGAGTACAGCGAGTCGGGCGAACGGACAGGAGTTGAAAAAACTCCCGGCTGAGATGAATAACGAAACAGCCTCACTGTTTGGCGGAAGAATTTAATTACTTCACAGAGCTGGCGGAGCGGGCGAGTCGGCAGTGGGTGAGTGCTCCCGTTCTAAGTGTGGGCGCCAGTCCGTTCGTACGTTCCCTCGAAACGAATACGAGGTTTTTAGGAAGAGACACGGAACGCCCGCGAAGCCACGCGAGGAATATGCGGCATGCGCCCTACGCTTTGATGCAAAACGAGCGCCGTCACCAAGAAAAATGTTTCCCATCCCACGCATGCAGAGCACGGCCGCTCGTCGGTACATCCGCTGAACTTGAAACGGCAGCTACCGGCGCTCTTCCCAGATGGCGGAATTCGCGCACAAATGCTCATGGATGGTACGAATACATTCGACATCGTCTGTCACCGGAGGGTACCTACGCTCGATTGGTCGAGGTCAAGACGGCAACACTGTTCCCCGTCGCGAGCCCAGATTCAAGCCGGTGGGACTTGAGCTCAACGCAGAGATCCGGTAACTTGTTGAATGGCAAGGAGCGAGACCTTCCCACAAAGGCGTAAGCGAGGAAAGGAAGAATAAAATCATTCCGATGAATGGGAGCGATGCTCGCGTTGAGGTTGTAAGCCTTCTTTCTGATGAAGTAGATCCTCTCCTGAATATGAGCTCGTCACGTCCCGAACATTATCCAAGATTCGGCTTTCCGTGCTTGGGAAATGGTGAAGCCTGGCGCCTCGGCCAGAGGAGCCTCGAACAAAGCATTAAACGGATAATATCGAGAAGATGAAACGATAAATAAAAGAGGGAAAGAACGTCGACTGTGGAGTTGGCCGGCTCAGCTCCACTTAAGTATGGCTCTTGAGAAGGAGGGGGAACGCACGAGAGCAACTTACGATCGAGGCAAAACTACACACACTCGGTGTCGAGTGCCGTTGGAATCGAGACGATGAGCGCACTCAATACAATAAGCAAGAAAAGAAGCTTTTACGCCGTTTCGCCAGGCGTCACCATAGGAGCGGATGCCACAGATTCCATGATATTCAGGATCGTTCACATGATGAAATGGTCCGGGGTTTTTCTCGCATCGTGGTGGCGATATTCATCCCATCTGCCGATTCGTTAGCTCTCCGATCGATCGCAAGAGCCCTCGGTTAGAATCGGTTCCTCGTCTTCCCGCTCCTCGATTGGCCCTATCGGTTTGATCGGTCGGTCATCTCTATTCGAAAATCTCGACGCGGAACTACGATTCCGATCTCCGGAGCTCTGAAGCTAATTCGTTCGATTTTCAATATATCCCCCGTGCTCGGTCTAGCGATTCTCCCGACGTTTTTTTTTCGTTATAATTGTATTTAGCCGGCTGGTTTGCTTGCTTCCGAACCACGCTCGAGTCCCTCATCGTCATATCTCTGGGGCCAGACGGACGGGAGCGACCTCTCGATCGGGGCCCACCCTGGAATCTCGCCTTCTCGCTTTGAATTTTTCCCTCCATTCTGCGGCTTGAGCGAGCTCTGAGCTCGTCAGTTTCGAGACTCTCGATTTTTTTCCCTCGCCGAGCGGGCTCCGTCTGTCAATATTCTGCCACCGGCCATCGGGACATCTGGATCCATCAGCCCCGCAGCGAAACCGCTATATTCGTGTTCAATCACAAACTAAAAATGTTTTTAAAGGAAGGTCAACCCTTATCGCCCTCGCCATTATTACTCTTTCGGCGGAGGAGTAAGCGAGCCCTGTTCGCAGCACGAGCATCATCTGAGCCCAGATCACAAGAGCAACTTTTGCGCATGTGCACAGGACT